CGCGGGGAGCATTCCACGCGCACGGGGTGGTGTGTCCTTGTCGATATCTTGGAAGACAGACACCAGAGGTCCCTGTTGTGATTTCCAGCGTGCGCTCTTTTTGGACCGCACCGTCCCCGTCCCTCCTTGGGTCGTTCTCTGCGTCTCGTCCGCGGCGGAAACGGAGGAGGAGGAAAAGGAGGAAGGACAGAGCAAGCCCAACAACACACGGATGACGTGCGATGCGAATGGGTCTGTGAGGAGGCTGCTGATGCACGGGAGGAGTTCCTATATAAGTATACGAGATCAGTCGTTGTAGAGCCTCCCTTCGAAACAGACTTTAGCAAACCTTGCAAACGTCCAAGATCAACTCTGTCGCCGTCCGAAGCTCGCCTTGATCATGAGCGGAATCTGGACGGGTGGGGGGAACGACGGCTGTGGTCTTTGGATTTCCCAAATTTACAGGGAGGTGAGATGAGTTGAACGGGGACGCAGCGAAGCTCACCTCACGCGCAACCGTATCAGATACAACGGTGAACAATGTTTGACAGACGTGTGACGCGAAGCGGTGTTTGACTAGGGTTTCGTATCTGTTGTACCGCAAACTCAACTAGTAGGGATCGAAATAGAGAGGACAACAAAGTCCACTCACGACCCAGCCAAACTATCCAAAAACACCCTCCGCACAAAGTCATCCATCGAGTACGCTATTCGTTCTAGGACCAACGAGCAATCAGGATCAGTCGCCAGTTGTTTTTCTTTTCCTCGCATTTCGCCGAGGGCGGCGAGGAAGAACATGTGTTTTTCTATAGAAGAAATGAAGATCAACCAAGTGATGTGATTGGAGAGGTTGTGGCCGCACCTGTATTCGGATCAACACCCGCCTCGGTCTCAACTTGTTCTCTGCCTTCCTGCCAATCTCTGATGTGTAGGTCGACATTGCGAAAATAAGCGTTGAGGTCCGCGTCGACATAGCCAAAGGGAGCTTCTGGATTAAAGTCTTCGTTGGTTGGGGCGGTGACAATCCAAGAAGGTCCAGGTTCGGATGGAACTGGCTGTGATGGTTTTGATTTATGTTTTTTTCCGCGTTTTCTGTTCTCTCGAGGCATGTAAGTAGGTGGTTGAAAAGTGGAAAGAGGTCGGCTTCTACCGGCAGGCATATTCATTGTGCCTATGGCAAAAAAATCGGCTGCCTTATTCATCCACTAAATGTCACTCAACATCAACGAGAGTAAAATATCCCAACGCCTGCAACACATCAAAAAAATCATCCTCGTCTTATCCGGTAAAGGCGGCGTAGGCAAATCCTCCATCTCCACCCAACTCGCTCTCACCCTCTACAACTCCTCCCCCAACGCCCGAGTCGGCATCCTCGACATCGACCTCACCGGGCCTTCCATCCCCCGCATGCTCGGACTAGCCGGACACCCTGTCTACCAGAGCACAGACGGCTGGGTCCCCGTGTACGCCGATGGCTCAGAACGACGACTGGGGTGCATGAGCGTCGGCTTTCTCCTCAAGAACCCCGGGGATTCCGTCGTGTGGAGGGGTCCGAAGAAGAATGGGATGATTAGGCAGTTTCTTGCTGATGTGAGATGGGGAGAGTTGGATTATTTGATCATTGATACTCCTCCAGGTACCTCCCGTTCTCTCTCTGCCTTTGATTTTAACCCCCTCCTCCATCTTCCATCTCAGGTACCTCCGACGAACACCTCTCCCTCATCGAACACCTCTCCCCCTCCTTCCTAACCACCCCAACAAACCCAACAAACCCAACAAACTCTCCTCCATCATCGTCACCACCCCCCAAGCCGTCGCGCTCACCGACGCCCTCAAATGCCTCTCCTTCGCACGCACCGTCAACCTCCCGGTCCTAGGCCTCATCGAAAACATGTCCGGCTTCGTCTGTCCCTGCTGCGGTGAGCGATCCGACGTGTTCTCCACCGGTGGAGGCCAGGCGATGGCCCTTAGGGAGGGGTTGGCGTTTTTGGGCAGTCTTCCGGTTGATACGGAGCTCGTGGCGCTTTTGGATGCGACGCCGATGAGTGGAGGGGGATCTGATGACGAGGTATCATCACCCTCGTTTGAACTTATGGTCCGGTATAACGCCACTCCGTCCTCGAAGCTGTTCAAACTTGTATTAGATAAAATACAGGAATCAAATGTAGGTATAGAATAATACTATATGCAATTCACTAAAGACCATGCATCGAACTCACACAACCATTCCCTTCTTTAGATGGGAGATCCGAACCGATGTAGGATTCAATGATTCCCTTGGCTTAATCATTACGGAACACCCATCCTGTAGATGAGGGCTCTGGTTTCTTCACTAATCCCATCCATGTAGCCTACCAATCACTGATTTCTTAGTGCCACTTTTATTTCATGTTCGATTGGTTGCCAGGCTATATGCATGCCACCAAATTTTTGGTCTTTGGGTGATTGTATAATGTATTTCACATACAACATAGATGGTAATCCACTGTTAGATGATATTTTATTTTATATTCAATATCCAATATTCAAGTCAAGTTAATTAGAATTTTTTTAGCAATTGGTGGGGCCCCTGGCCCATAACCTGTAAGACTGATCAGTGACAATACACCGTTCATTCTGTGTGCAGGCATGCAATGGCCTGATTTTAACAATTGGAGCCTTGCATACTAACTACTTATATCAAAGGACTGTAGTGAGTCCACTGAGCTGACAGTCAAACTTGTATCCCACCGGGGTCAATTGCCAGGGCAGTAAAAATGAACTTTGCCTTATAGGCAGTATGAACTTGGGCAGGTGAATGAGCAATGGGCAGATGATCATGTAACTTGGACAGCTGGCTTTTTTTTAACACTCACATGTGATCAAAGATTTAGAATCTAGATTGGCTCATTTGTGCTACAACTCCACAAAGCACCTGAGGAGTACCAGCGGGGAAGCATGCAATGAGTCCCCACAGAAATTTTGCATGTTGTAGGATAAGATTCAATGCTGTGTGCCAAGTTGAAGTTATCAAGCATAACATATGTTCTCCTGTCCCCTACCAATTGCATTTGTCTTGACACTTTTTGGATTTTTCTTGATTAATTCTGCATTTTCACAGCTGGGATCATATGTCTTTAAACCAAGCCCATGGTCTTGGATCTGCACTATCTCATCTCTGTATCTAATATATCAAGTTCTGGACCTATTTCTAGTCTAATTTCCCATGGTCTAACCATAAGTACTCTGGAATTTTTCCTTTCACTGACTCAATCCTCATTGTCTTACAGCATATCTGGAAAACCTTGTCAGTGCACATCATTTTGTCAGCACAAAAAATAAAATAAAAAGAAAAGGTACTGAGTACAAGCGACTCTAAGTGACTCTAAGCAAGCCAGATCACTGTCACCCTTGAAGTGTGCATCACACTCACAAGCCTTTTGTTTTCTCATTATGGCCCACAATGGGCAATTATATGATGATTTGCATTGATGGAATCTTGATACCAGTGCTTGATGTGCTTGAAGGTCCTACAGACATGAAAATCTTTGAAAGGTGAACTGCAGTAATAATTTTGATCCTGATATCCAATATCTTACCTCACTTGTACTCAATTACTTGCCTTGCTTAGACTCGGTAACTTTTATTTTTTAGGTGGTCAAAAAAACCTGCAGTGACAAGGTTTTCTGGACATGCTGTAATCATAGATGATCTAGTTCTGGAGCATTTTCCCATGGTTTTACAATAACATTGGAATTAACGATCCCCGATGGGGACCTACACCTTACTTGCTCTAATTGCCAACTGGTTTGTGCACTAAGAAGGCAGCAGTGTAGATGAAGTTGACCATGCTGTTGAAGCAGAAACAAAAAAGTGAAAGTTCGGAAGTCGCCGGTGCCAAAAAGATCAGGAGATTCACTGAGATTCAGAACAATGACCTGTGCAGTGTACTCAGAGGAGGCAGGGAATAACAGGGAATAACAGGGAATAACCGAGTGTAGAATCTATAGATGAACAGTAAAGGGCATTGCCGAGTTCTTGTAAAGGAAATTGCCGAAATTTGAGGAAGAAGACCTCATTGAAGAACAGAGATAGAAAGAGAAATGCGAGAGAGCGGAGAAAGGACGCTGTAAAAGGAAATTTGCACGGGCGCTTAGAGGTTATGGAATTTCATTAACCTTGCAAGCAAGGTGACTATTCCTAATCAGGATTGCATACTAGCTATTCTTAATCTAATTCAGGGCCATTTACCCATGGTTCCCAATAACCTCCAAACTATTCCTTCTCAGGATTTTATACTAGCCTTTTTTGATCTAGTTCAACAGAAGGCTGTTCAATATGGCTCAAGTCCAGTGATATTGACTCAGAATGACAGGAGAGTTGAGACACCCCATGTGAATGAGGAACAATACAAATGAGTCAGCATAACTCCAATGACCCAAATTGGGTTATGGACTTCCAGTAGTATATAAAGGCTAGATACTTGCATGTAAAGGCCCCAGATTAGTTATCTTGGAATTGTACTCAGCTTTGGCTTTGGCTCTCTCACTCTTGTCTCATGTTTCTTGTTTCTGGTTCTGGTTCTGGTGTAACAATGATCATCAACAATTCACTGGAGTTCAGACATTTGGTGTAGACTTACCTGCCTAGCAGCTTCTTTAATGTTTGTGTGGATCAATTGCTCATAGACATTGTCTGTGGTTCAAGGGCTAGAGCATCAAGCACCTTCCCTGATATTGATACACACAAATGTTGTAGAAACTGCTAGGCAGGAAGGTCTACACCGAATGTCTGGACTCCAAAGAATTGTTGATAGTTGTTGTTACACCATAATTAGAGGCCAGAGACAAGAAACATAGGACAAGAGAGAAAGAGCCAAAACCAAAGCTGAGTACAATTCTAAAATAACTGATCTCAGCAAGGGCTGGAGAGCTAACAAGGTTGGGTTTGATGCTGAGTAAAGAGCCAATAATGAAGATTTGTTTTCTGGTTGATTTGGGCTGGTTGTATTAGGATTGTGAAATCCAACATCCATTGAATATGGCCCAGTAGCTCAGTGGTAGAGCACTGCACCAGAAAGGCAGGAGGCCCAGTTTCAATCCCATGGCTCAGCTGGTTTATTGTCATTCTTACAGATTTGCAGTCAGAGCAGTGATTTCTGCCAATTTGATGATATAAGCCTGCTAAGCAATCAAGGGGTCCTGAAATTGATACAGAAGCACAGAAAGTTGCTGTAGATGTTGGTTTCAGGGGGAGTGTTAGGATTATGAAATTCAACATCCATTGAATATGGCCCAGTAGCTCAGTGCCAGTAGAGCACTGCACCGGAAAGGCAGGAGGCCCAGGTTCAATTCCTGGCTAGTGATTGGTTCGGGTCGGGTCGGGTGTCCCTCAGCTCGACCCGACCCGGGACCCGGTACTCAACCGTAACCGTACATCCGGGTCCGGGTGCACCCGGTTCAGCCAGCTCACCCGACTCACCCGGAATACTTGCCTAACCCGACGACAGTAGTCGGGTTTGCAACTCGAAAGAATACATCAACTACATTATAAGATACTATATACAGCGAGTATAACAAACGTATCATAATACATAAATTTCATCGTCAACTAGGTTACCAAAATCTTCACCATCAACATCTGAGTTCGAGTTCAAATAACCAACTAATTCCCCATTCGAAACAAAATCTTCCCGGGACCAGTCACCGAAACACATAAGGGCGCGAATTGTGTCAGCTCGAAGGCGGTTACGGAGGTGTGAGATGAGGATTCGGCCTCGCGAGAATGTTCGTTCCACGGCCACTGAGGTAGCTAAGAAATAAAGTCAGTACATGGTAGTAAGAAACGGAGAGAAATTGTTACTTACCAGGAATAGAATGGATAGATATAGCTAATCTTGCCAGGTTAGGATACAGTTTTCGGTTGGTCATCCACCACTGGAGAGGGTTGTCGGTCTGGACGCAGCCGTCTGCCAAGTAGCGTTCAAGCTCGTCCATGTCTCCTCCGAGGTCCAGTTGCTTGTGCTTGTTCATAAGAGATATGAAAGAATTTTGCCGTTGTTGCGCGGTTTTTCCGCGCAGGCGTGCAATGATCAAAAAGATCAACTTAGACCGTTGCATAGTATCAATAAGGACTGTGGTGAGCCCGAACTAGCAGTCAAACTCGTATCAGTATAAGCTAGGATACAGATCCTTTGGCAGGATCAGCCATGAATATCCACTTAGAGCTATTGCTCGCACCCTTGGTCGGGGATCCTTCAAGAATGCTGACTACTGGTACGAGCACACCAAGGGAATATCGACTTAGTATCAAGGTCTGCCGGATCGGCACAACTGAGTTTGGTACTTGGCTGTGATGACGGAAATTTCACTTGATCTAGCAGATCAGACACGATGAGAGCCTATCCGGACGAGTTACCACACGGAAACCCTACGCAAAGTAGCGGAAACCGTCGGAAACATGATGATCTAGCATTTCCGTGGCAGTACGGGTGAAACCCGCAGCGGAAACACGCATATGTACAGGTTCTAAACTGGGATATAGCGTATGCTATGTACAGCTTTGACCAGCACTCACGGAAACGCGCGGAAACCTACGGAAAACACTTCTGAAGCATTTACCTTCATTGTCCGCTCCAGAACCCCAGGCTATATGCATACCGTTCGAAAGCTACGGACCAGACCTACCGGATCCGCGAGATCAACCACTGTTACGAGTCTATCTCATTAACTTGGGAAGACCACTACCCTTCCGCGGAAGCAAATTCGTCGGAAACACTTGAGCAACACAGGCAGGAGCCACTCTGACGAGTTAGGCACCCTAGCATGTGGATGCTGCACAGACCATGGTCGGAACTTGCTTGGTCTTCTAGATCTGGCAAAAGTACGACAAAATACGGACAAGTTTCATCTTTTTCTCTGTTTTCCTTACTATTTCCTTGCGTGTTTGTATCGTTTCAATCATATTTTACTATTTAAGTGTATATTATCGGACTCCGTCCGTAGAAATAGCTAGATCTACTAGATCAAGGACAAATACGGGTATTGGACTTTCGTAGCGTACTTAAAGACCTGTATCCGCACAAATGAAATAAGTTTCGCGCCCAGATCTCTCTGAACTGGTAATCCTTTTCATCCATACGTGGGAGTAAAGGCTTCTAAGCCGTACCGGACCTTGCAGATTAAGTGTGTTACTTCATTGCGATAAGCCCGACTTTTGAGTGGTTTGACTTGGTGTCTGTCACTTGATAGTTGAAGGTAGACTCCGTTCCGGAGATACAGAGGACTTGGTCTCAGGTTGTGCCGAGTGAACGTGCAGAGTTTTGGTGGCTCTGTTCAAGTTGACACGTAGTGATTGGTGATCTGCGTGATCTTCGAGGTTTTACTGAGAATAGTGATCAGTACTGCTTCACCCGGGAGCGGAATCGATTGGTCTACCATAACGTCTGGTACCCCGTTGCTTTCCGAGCCTAAAAACCCTTATCCGAGTGGAAGCCACTCAAAACAAACCCTTTAGTCCAGATCTTACGACTGGTATATCCGTGTCACTTCGTTCTGCTGACCAGTATTGCTGATCTAAAAGATCTTACAAGACTGCGTTCGACTTGAGATATAAGATAGTGCGGAATCTCTGACAACGCCCCACACCTCGCTATAAATACAATTTGATTGACGAATCCGTGAAGTCGTACTCTGTGTTCGTGCTAAGTGACCTGTCATAAGGCATTATACTAAGAACCGACTCTATACCTCGTTATCTGGAGCCCACCGCGAGGGGTGGAATCTATATTTTGGTCGAACTCGAGAGATCTTCTTGATTTCTCAAAACTACTGCCTTTGATCGAATTTATTTGATCATTAAAAATAGCTCCAAGAGCTACTCGGACTTCGAAGAACGCGGGCTCAGCAGATTTCTTTGATCCAGCGATACAAGCTTCAGATCAGCGAAAGCGCGCAGCAAAGAAACCCTCTGTACCTGTTTACGATCCGAGAAACCTCGGAAGAGTGAGTACTAGCAATCCAGATAACGGGAGAGCTCCTAGACCATCTTCGGAACAACCAGTAACGAAGAGATCTAACGTAGTGCCAGGAAACGGTAGACAAAAGGCAGCTACTGTTGGACCAGATCCGCAATCTAGTTCAGATCCTACATTACAACCCGAACCATTTGATTTGATACGACTGTTTTTACCCAACAATATGTCCGAAGTACATAACGGAAATGATCAGGGAGCCGCGGGAGCGAATGCTAACGCACCAGCAAACCCGGCTGCCCAACAAAAACGACCGGAGGATCAACTCGACATCATAAGGATGCTTGGTCCTCCTGAACTGACTCCTGCTGAACAAGCAGAGTATAACAATACCAAGTTTCCGCTTACGCACAAAACTGCTATGATCCTGGACTTGGCCAATCCGAGCATGATCCCCGAGTGGGTGAGGTTCTGTTTGAACACGTTCCAGGCTACGGAAGTTACCTCCGAGAAGGTGAAGATGCAAAAGATCTTTTCTTGGATGACCCTTCAGACCAAGCAGGCTCTCGAGCATCTTCCCGGCGCGCAGGAGGGAAGGGAGGACGCGGACTGTTTCCTGCGTTCCCTGTGTGAAAGATTCCCGGCATCTCTAGGGAGACCAATGGGTTCGAAGAATACGCTCTTGCAGATCGTACAGAACTATGCTCCTTTGGGTGTCCGGGACGGAGATAGGTTGCTCGGATATTGTTTGTTGATGGAGGTAGAAGCCAATAAGTTGTTGAAACCGCCTCCGGCGATAGGAAACACGGAATTGGTGTCTCTTTTCCTGTCAGCATTCGATGACGAGTTACGGAAAGCTGTGAATCGTAAGGTTCAACAGCAGGTACCTGCTTTCCGCGTAGAGAAACGTCGGGTCGATGATCCATATCTGTTTGTAGAGTACAAGGAAGCAGCAGAGGCCGTAGCAAGGCACCCACCCTTGGAATCGCTGTACCGGACGGTAACAAGTCGGGATGGCGTGGTCTTCAATGCGGAAACCCACTCAAGAGGAGGTGTATACGTTCCGATTGGTGGTCCTCCGGTGATCAAAGAAGAAGTACCGGATCTCTCGCATTTCTTCCGGTCTCCAGCTAAACCCGTTGAAGTGAAACGAGAGGCTTCCGAGGAAACGGAAAGAGCACTAGCTGCAAATAGGGACCAGTACAGTGTGTTGGTCAAAGATTTGGGAGCACTTAAGGCTACCTACAAAGAGGAACTTGAGACGTTGGCTCAAATGCTGGCTAACATCAAGACCGGAAATGTTCAACCTGCGCAACGGGTGCAACCCCATACTGTCGCTTCTGGTAGTGGTAATCCCGGAAACAGTGGGCCTCCCCGCGGAATCATTAACACGAATCCGAATAATGCACAAGGTCAAAGGTCTGAGATGCTGTGTTTCCTTTGTCGGGAACCGAACCATATGATGCAAAGTTGTCCAATGTTCTTGGAACTCTTAGGGAAAGGTTGGATTATGCGTGATCCGCAAGATCCAAAGCGTCTTAAGTTGAAGGATGGGTCTCCGCTACCGAATAACTTCGGAAGTGAGAGTAGATACCAAAAGATCATGAAATATGGTCAGGCCAAAGGGTGGCCCGAGGTTTCGACGATGATGAACGAGATGATCCCGGACAATGAGGATTACTCGGAACAGTTGGCCGGATCCCCAGCCTGGATGGTCATTGCCAATCTGGCGGAGATGGTGCAAGGGAGATCTAGCAATGGTGTGGCTACGGTGTACACGAACGAGTCGGGAAACTGAGGAATCCAATGATTGAGTTGACCTCTGGGCCAAGGACACGGTCTCAGCAACAGGCAACAACTCATGAGGGTGCCCCAAAGCCTAACTCACCAAAAGCAATACCTGCTGTCAAGAATAAACGCTTTGACGGGGTGCATATACCCATAGATCGAAATAACCCTAGTAAAAACAAAACATCCGAAAAACCGAAGTCCAATCCGGACAATTCTACGCCTAATCATGACAGATCTGCTGGATCAGACCCCGATTCTTCTCAATCACTGAGGGAAGCTGCTTTGGAAAGGATACAGTCAGTGACCATTGACGATTTAACGGATGAGAGTGCTTTAGGCTCGGGACGCGAGC